AAAAGTTTTTCCATTAAAAGCATTTTCGGAAAAGAGCGTCTAGATTGGCACGGATGCTGGGGTGGACAGAGGATATATGTGGAAAGGCGTCCATGGCCAATCTAGATGTGTTTTTCTGCAAAAAAGCTCCGATTGCCATTTTCGCGATCGGGGCTTTTTTGCGCAAAACAAATCTGAGCTGTCTACACTGGCCCTTTTGCGCAAAAGCTTTTGCGCAAAAGGACTTTTGCCCAAACGGGAGCAGCATAGTATTTCCACAAGAATCACTGATTTCTTACAGTAGCAAGTCAGTGTTCTTGTGGAAATTCAAGCGGCCCGTGTAGACAGCTGGCAAGTTTTTCTGCAAAAGCAGCTGCTTTTGAGGAAAAACTTGCTAGTCTAGACACAACACAGAGGTTTTTTTTCAGAAAAAAAGGCTGTTTTTCCAACAAAACTTCACTTACATTCACACTGCAATCGCATTCTTTTAAAAGGAAATTGAAAGAAGAGAGGGGTTTTTCCGACCTTGGTCAACCTCTTTCTATGAGGAAGAAGCCTTTTTGCAAAAGAGCTTTCGGAAAAAGGCGTGTGTGGACGGGGAAGAGGGCGTTCCTTCGGTAGAAGAGGAAAAAGCACAGGTGCCCTGGTGGCCACTCTGTCCACAATAATCACAGCTTACATGCAAGAGAGCGTCTAGTCAGTGTGGACGCTATCTGTCGAAAAAGCAGATCGCTTTTCCGATGCGCTTTTGCTGGGTAGACACTATTTCGGAAGAAGTTTTTTCAGAAGATCTCTTCCGGAAAAGCTTCTTCTGAAAGAAACCTGCAGTCTAGACGTAGCTTCCGGAAAGTTAAGCTCTGGCACAGGTTTCCGAGTGGTTGTGGAAATCCCTCACCACTGGACCAACACCTGTCAGGGATGGTGTAGGTTAACTCGGCCCTGCCTCAGTGCAGGAGGCTGGACTGGACAGCCGCGGGAGGTCCCTTACAGCCCCACATTGCTGTGAGAAGTGGCCTCAGGCCAGGAGAAGATGGAGCCAGAAGCATTTATCCCACCAACGGGAGGTCGGTCAGAAGTGGAGCAGGGAGGAGAGAGTAAAAACATGGTTCATGCCTGTGGCACCGGATCCGAGCTATCGGAGAAAGCACCGGCCAAGGGTTGGAGACACGGCCTCTTCCATCCACGTGGCCATGGAAGAAGGACATTTCTTTCCAACTCTCCCCAATGCCAGCAGTGGCTGGAAGTAGGGCAGACACTGGGTGCCTGAAGTTCTAGCCCCGGTGGGTCTGTCTACGTACAGACAAGCAAATATTTTTGTGATCTAATTTGAACACAGTTTGCTGGGCAGCCAAGGCTGATCAGAGGGGATTGTGGGACACAGCGACCTCCAGTGGTTAGCCAGGATAATTCTCAGGGTGAGCAGGTTTGCTGAGCAAGTCCAGGAAACTTTTGTCAGTTACGGTGGGTACGTTCCTCACACCACCAGGAACGGTGAAATCCAAGAATGCTGGGGGCAGGGGACATGATATACTGGCATTGGAAAAGGTTCAGAAAAGGGCAACAAACATGATGAGGGGTTTGGAACGGGTCCCATATGAAGAGAGATGAAAAAGATTTTTCATCTTAGAAAAGAGAAGACTAAGGGGGGATATGATAGAGGTCTATAAAATCATGAGTGGTGGGGGAAAAAAGTGAATAAGGAAAAGTTATATACACATTCCCACAATATAAGAGTGAGGGGGTCACCAAATGAAATCAATAGGCAGCAGTTTTAAAACAAACAGAAATAAGTTTTTCTTAACTCGGTGCACAGTCAATCTGTGGAACTCCTTGCCAGAGGATGTGGCGAAGGCTAGGATTTTAACAGGGTTCAAAAAAGAGCTAGATAGATGCATGGTGGTTAGGTCCATTAATGGCTATTAGCCAGGCTGGGTAGGAATGGTGTCCCTAGCCTCAGTTTCTCTGGAGGTGGGTGACAGGGGAGGGATCACATGAGGATTCCCTATTGTGATCCCTCCCTCTGGGTCATCTGGCATTGGCCACTGTCAGCAGACAGGATACTGGGCTAGATAGACCTTTGGTCTGACCCAGTGTGGCCATTCTTATGTTCATAAGTTCTTAAATAGAGTGAGTGCTCTATTTCCCTGCACTTCCCAGACACTGTGAGGAGCGCCTATGGCTCCCGGTTGCTGCAGTGGGTGCAGGGAGAGCAGCTCTAATTCCTTCTGCTCCACCAGCCACATCCCCCATAGGCAAGTGCGGGCCCAGGGCAGGGAACTGGGGGCCCAGGGCAGGGTGGTGGCAGGAAGGGGGTGGAGCTTGGGGACTGGAGAGACTCATGAATATGCAAAATCATGCATAGTGAATCCATGAATCGCGAGGGTCTCCTGTAATTGATTTTTTGTTTCAGGGTCTGAAAAAAAAAGGGGGGGGGCTGGGGAGAGCAGGGAAGGAAGGAGCAAAAATAAACCGTTCAATTCAAACCAAAGATGGAGTTTTTTGAAAAATTTCAATATAGCGAGAAAAAAAATTAAAAGTTTCATTTTGGGTTGACCAAAATATTTTTATCAAACTACTTTTTAAAAATTTGTATTTCATTTTAATGTATAATTTTTATTTTGTATTTTAAGTTTTTAATTTTTTCAGGGTCCCCCCCCTTTTAAAATGTTTTTATTTTTATAATAGCCAAACTGGAAGCTGAAATACAGGTAAAAACTCTCAGCTACATCTAGACTGGCATGATTTTCCGGAAATGCTTTTAACGGAAAAGTTTTCCGTTAAAAGCATTTTCAGAACAGAGCGTCTAGATTGGCACGGACGCTTTTCCGCAAAAAAAGGGTGTGGCTCTCAGGGTTCCGTGCTGTTCTTTAGTGCTAATTTACCCCAAAATGTCTTCTAAGAGCCCAGTAAGCAGTGGAAGTGTTGGTAGACAACATTGACCTCCCGTGGTCCAGCAAATTCTCTGGTGCTGGACTAGAGAGGTTTCTGGACTAGAGAGGTTGCTGGACTAGGGAGGTTCAACCTGTATTGGAAAAAAAAATGAAACAGCTTCATTTTGGCTTAACCAAAATATTTTTATCAACCAAAAACATGATTGCAAGTGCCTGCCTCAGTGAGACTTGTGCCCTCTCGGAGCTGTGGTGAGCATGTTCGTGAAGGCTCAGAACTGTCTCTCCCCGTCTCTTGCCAGGCAGCTCTGAGTGCAAACTCTGCCCCATGGACTGGCTGTCGCACCGGGGAAAGTGCTACTGGGTCTCTAAAGAGAACGCCGGCTGGAACGCGAGCTGGGATGACTGCTCAGCCAAAGGCGCTCACTTGCTGGTGATCCAGGACTGGGAGGTGATGGTAAAGTAAAACAAGGGACTGGACAGCCCCAGGAGCGGGTGACTGGTTCTGTGGTACCTGCTGTGCAAAAGGGGAAGGAGATTTCTCTCCTAGGATGCTAATGCAGCGTAAGGATGGGAGCAGCGCCCACACACTTTGTGGGAGCATGGGGATGGGAGAGCCAGGAGAGCTGCAGGGACTAGAGAGCCTGGAACCTGTTCCCCCAACCCCACCTCGGCTTATTCCTCCTCCTGCCTTGTATGCATGGATGGGGAACAAAGGTGGGAGGCCGAGGGGCGCATGAACCACTCCGGGTGGGATTCTCAAAAGCAGGAAGGGAGCGGGCAGCATAACGCAATGGGGTGAGCAGGGACATGTGCTCCTAATTCCCCGAGACACTTCACTGTGTCAGCTAGCCCTGAGGCCTGTGTACGTCAGCGCCCCCACTGGTGCTGCTGCCCTGTTGGGAGAAATGCTGGGAGGTTGTAACAGCAGAACCGAGTGTAGCTACACGCTCAGGCGCCTGTTTTGAGAACAGTGCGCCAGGTTGCCCAGCTGAAGCAAAGATTCTTAGAACATTGGCAGGTGTCACTCACCTGCTGCCCTTTCTCTTCACCCCCCAGGAGTTCCTGCACAACTTCACGCAGGGCCAAATCCCCGCCTGGCTTGGGCTCAGGGTGACATCCCCAGAGAAAAACTGGACCTGGGTGGACAATTCCACGTGGAACCAAACTCTGTGAGTGACGACAAGCGGTTGCCTCTTTAAAAAGATCTCTCAGCATTGAGAAAAGTTCAGAAAGGGCAACCAAAATTATGAGGGGCCTGGCAGGGCTGCCATATGAGGAGAGGTTAAAAAACCCGGGACTTTTCAGCTTAGAAAAGAGGAGACTAAGGGGGGATAGGATAGAGGTCATAAAATCATGGGTGGTGTAGAGGAAATGACTATGGAAGTGCTATTGACTCCTTTCCATAACACAAGGAAAAGGGGTCACCCAATGAAATGAATAGGTAGCAGGTTTAAAACAAACAGAAGAAAGTTTTTCTTCGTACAGTGCACAGTCAACCTGCGGAACTCCTTGCTAGAGGATATTATGAAGACCAGGACTTTAACAGAGTTCAAAAAAACACTAGATAAATTCATAGAGGTTAGGTCCATCTATAACTATTACTAGCCAGCATGGCTAAGAATGGTGTCTCTAGCCTCTGTTTGTTAGAAGCTGGGAACAGGAGACAGGAGAGGGATCGCTGAATGGTTTCCTGTTCTGTTCACTCCCTACATCTGGCACAGGCCACGGTTGGAAGACAGAATACAAGGCCAGATGGACCTTTGGTTTGATACAGTATGGCCATGCTTATGTTCTATTTTATAAAAATGATATGTAACAACACCCACTGGTTTAGCTGTGCACAGTACTTGAACACACGGATCCATGTGTTTAAACAAACCACGCTACAAGGTTTCCTGAGTTACAAACTCCACTCTGTGCATTTAGACTCTAACAGCTACAACTGAGTGATTTTTTTTTGTGTGACTAGTGAATTCACTGAAAAAATAGCATTTTTTCAGGGTGACGTGAAGTCAATACAAATAAACAAATAATTGTAGCTGCCCATTTTTCTCCCCCGCCAAATTCACAATGGGCTGCTTGACTGTTTGAAATGCAGTGTTTCGGCTTTTCCTTTTAAAATGATCCTTTCTTTCAACGTGTAGCTACGTGACTTTTTAAAAAAAGATGAAAAACTGCCCAAAACAAAACAAAAATGATATATTTCATTTCATTTTGTATAGGAATGTTTTTCAATGATTATTGTATTCCTATCAGTTTCTCATTCTAGCAAGAAAAGCTGGGGGAATCAGTTTTGGTTTGAATCAAAACCATTTTTTTTATATCCAGCACTTGAACTGAATGGAAAAACCCCCCAATTATTTGCTTAGCTGTAGTAGCTCTCTCATAAGCTTCTATCCATGGTATATCTATGGGGACAAAAGTGACCATGAGGGTTCCACGCAGCTCATGAAAGAATCCAGTCCCACTGCCCACTGGATTAGAATAGAGAACCAGTTAATCTCGTTTCCTTCACTGAATCTAGGAGCATAAGGAGAAATGTGTCCCCGATGCAATCAACTCCATTCACTTTGGCAGAGTTACACGGATCTGATCTTGGCTCACCAACTTCCCTTCTTTTTTTACAGGTTCCCTGTTTCAGGCGCTGCTGACGTGAACAGCTGTGGGATGATCAAAGGCAATCGGATTCGCTCTGAAACGTGCACTGCTGAATTCAGATGGATTTGCCAGAAGGAAGCTGTGTCTCTATAACATTAGAGACACTCATTCCTGCAACAAGCCACTGCCCTGCCTTGTGTTGTGGTCTCTGGGCCACACGCCCAGGAGGGGCTGTGCCTGTGGAGACATGCACGTCAACCCCAGACCAGCCCTTTGCACGTGCAAGTCAGGTAAATGCACGTGCAAGTCAGGTAAATGCACGTGCAAGTCAAGTAAATGCACGTGCAAGTCAGGCAAATGCGTGTGCAAGTCAGACTCTAGGGCAAAGGCGAAGCTGATGGACAAACACACTGCATTGCCGATGCGTCTAGCAAGGACACCCCTCGTCTTGCCCCTGTGTCCCCTTCCTCCATCACAGATTTTCTAGCTGCACCCCTTCGCCATGGGCGCAGCAGGTTGGTAGAATTTTTAGTGGCGCCCAGAACAAATTTGGGTGCAGGAGGGGGTTTGGGCTGCAGGCTCTGAGATGTAGTTTGTGTGCGAGGCGCAGGCTCTGGGCTGGGACAAGGGACTGGGGCATAGGAGGGGGTGGGGGTGCAGGACCTGTGCTGGAGTTTGGGATCAGAATCCTAGAACACTAGAACTGGAAGGGACCTTGACAGTCATCAAGTCCAGTCCCCTGCCCTCACGGCAGGACCAAGCACCGTCTACAGCAGTGTTTCTCAACCAGACATACGAGTACCCTCAGGGGTACCCGAGAGAAGTCTGGGGGGTATACTCAGGTACCAACTGTACTCGAGAGAAGTCTGGGTGGTACGTCAACACAACTGAAATGTGGAGAAAACTGAATTTTTGTTTGAAGTTTTACAGCGCTTTATTATTTTTGTGCTTTTTACACCCAAAAATGTCATTGCCTGCCTGGCTACGATTAAGTTGTTTAAACGAATGTGTTGCAATGATAAAAAAAATTGTGTGTCTGAAAACTGTAGGTACTGGGGGTATTTATAATTTTTTTAAAAGGGGTACTTTATAGAAAAAAGATTGAAAAACACTGATCTAGACTATTCCTGACAGGTGTCTGTCCAACTTGGTCTTAAATATCTCCAGAGATGGAGATTCCACAACCTCCCTAGGCAACAGCAGTGGAAAAAGTACCCCAAAAGTTACTTGAGTAAAAGTACTGCTACTTTGAAAAAAATATAATTAAGTCAAAGTCAAAGTAACTTTGGCTACATCGAGATTGCAAACCTCTTTTGAAAGAGGCTTTTTCAAAAGATACTTTCCAAAAAGCCTGTTTTGAAAAAGAGCATCTAGACTACAACCAGTACTTTCGAAAAAGCAAGCCGCTTTTCCGAAAGAGAGCAACCAGCCAGTCTGGATGCTCTCTTTCAAAAAAGCACAGTTTGCATTACATAGCGCCTTTTTTGAAAGAGCACTTTCGAAAACAGGTGTTATTCATTGTAAAATGAGGTTTTCCACGGTCGAAAAAACTGATGCGTTCTTTCGATTTACTTTTGTGCAAGAGGGCCAGTGTCGACAGCACAGTACTGTTTTCTGCAAAAAAGCCCCGATTGTGAAAATGGCGATCGGGGCTTTTTTGCGGAAA